AAGTGTTAACGAGCAGTTGGACAGGTGTACCTAATAAAGTGGCCGGTGAGTGTATATGACATTAGAAAAGCCTCACAGTAGCTCCAGTGACAAGATCAACTCATTTTAAATAAACTAATTTATTCATACTTTGTTTTGAAGTTTACTGCTGAAAAATGAGGGACAACACAAAGATTATTTATTTTATTGCTAGATTTTCTTTTTATATTTGAAAAACATAGCAGGACCTTTTTTTCTTCTTTTGGGGCCCCCATACGGCCCCCCTGACCTGGAGAGACTCACACAGAGAAAAGCTGCAAATGGAAAAGTATTCAATTTATTTATACAGGTAACACAATCATATTCTTCAAGTATCTTTGGTTCAAGTGAGGCTAATAAGAGTCTTGCAGATTAAATTTACGGTATGCTTAAGGTTCATTTCCTGTCAACGTCTTGCTCTTGGAATTTGACAGTAAATGCAAAGGTGAAACTTATCTTCACAGACTGCTGCTGAATTGCTCTCTGCAACTGAGTATTGTTAGGATCCGGCAGTAAATCTATACATGCAGAGAGCCCACTCTCTGCAAGACCAGATATTTTGGGGAGCGACAGACCGGAGTCTGAGCTGGAGGTAAGGGAGGATGATGAACAGTCATTCTAAACAGCTTTTACTTTTTTTAAAGCCAGCTAAAAACCCTTTCCGAACATTCCTTATTTAGACATTTGTTATCTTCTCTATATTCCGTTTAACCGAGAAAAGATTTGCTTTGACTTCACTTCTTTACCCTTCTTCACACCTAGAGCCATTCCCCGATTGGTTCCTGGGACACAATTTCACAGCTAAGTTCAGATTTTTCCAGCTTTGGCGTCGCCTCTCTACTCAATGTTGTTCGACAACACCTCAGTTCTATCAAGCAAGAAGTCAGAGCCACTTGATAGCACCTCTGGCTGCTTCCCCGCTTGCTTTGCATACAGGCTTCCCTCTTTCCGTTGTCATGGTGAATCGTGAGATCTAAACTCATGGGTTAATTAGATGCATTTTAGTTAGCTGATGTATATTGCCTGTTCTGAAATAAAAAAAGAGCTTGAGGAGAAGAGAGAATATCCGTTGTATTCAGAGTCAGCAGCAGACTAACCCCTGCTCTGCTGGAGCCTCTAACTCATCAGATTATGTGAGATCTTCTGCAACAACAGGTCTGCAATTTACACCCTAGAGCCCAGAGATTTTTACAAGCTAACAGCTCCTGCAGACACACAACAAAACACAGTAGCTTTTGTTTTAAACAGCTTTATTTACTTCAAGAGTACATACAGGATAAACGGTAAAGATACAGGAAAACAGTATTTAACCCTCTCCCCTCTGCAAAGAACAAAATGTGGGAGAAAGTGCAGAGCAGAATTGGCGATGAAGGTAACAGTCTAAATGAGATCAATGATGGTTTTTACTGCATGGTGAGAAGGCACAGAGTTGTGGAAGAAACAACCTGGCAGTTTTTTTTTTTTTAATTCAGAGTTTGGTTTGTGTTGCGCACTCCTGAAACGACCTGCTTAAACATGTTTCACATGGTTTTATGGCGTTAGTTCATTAAAACACACTGCAACTGAGAGACGAGCCAACATTCAGTTCAGCGATTTGAGGTATAATTTGTTACAATTCATCAAATCAAGCTTTAAAAAAAAAAAAAAGGAAAACACTAGTGTTTAATCACATTTCTAACAAGCATAAAAACATGCTAACACTACTTTTGCTTAGCTAATAATGGCTTCAGTAAAGCGGATTAGTAAAGTACATCGTTTCCTTTAAAAACTGGATCAAATCTGCAGTTTTCCAGTTTGGGGCTCCTCTGAGGAGGCGGTTCAGTCACTGGGAAGTCTGGGAGTTAATTACTACAACCATTCTGTGATTGATCGCTTCGCATTAGCTTATAGGGAGTGTCGGATGAACCCCGCTCTGCTGGCACGTCCGGAAAATCAAAACAAACGCCACCAGAGTGATTTTTACAGGAGGCTGGTAACTCAGGGTTTGGATTTCACATTTAACTCAAACTAAAGTTAATGCATTGTTAAAAAAAAATAAAAGTATAAAAAGTCATAAAAAGATGCCACTGAGATCAGCACTGCCACTGATATTCGCTTTTTTTCTTAAAGGTTTTTGGTGTAATCAGGAAAACAACCAGAAGCAATTATTGTGAAAATGTTTCATATATGAAACTAGAGTTTTTTTTTTTTTTTTAGATTTTCATTTTTAAAACAGAAACAATTAAAAACATGAAACAATTGATATAGCTGCACTAAGAAATACATGTTCCCTCGCTGCTCAACCTTCGTCCCAGGTGGAGGAAGTTAGCACCACCTGGCGTTTCCCAGGAAACCGGCAGATTTTCTCACATTTCATCACCCATGTGTGGCGACGGGTTCACAGCGAGTCTGACGAGATAACCCAACATTCTGGAGCGACCCCGGTCGCGCTAGAAGCAACGAGGCCGGCTCCACCCCTACAGCATGGTCAGCAGCACGTGCGAGGCGAGGATCTTGTGCGTTCAGATTTGTGGTTTGTTTTTGATGTTGTGCGCTTAAGTTGCTGTGTTGTTGTCTGCAGGCGGACTCGGCTTTGACCTCTCCCCTGCTTCGGTGGCGGAGATCGAGCCGACTCCGGAGAGGCTTCAGGTCATCGGAGAGAGTGGCGCCGAGAGGTCGGCGGGACGGGGAATGAAGATGTCCCTCATCAGAGCTGTAGGAGACGCAGAGGGAAACAACAAAAACAGGTGAGGAGAGGATTGATGCTGCTTTAATCTCACACTGAATCTGTTTTCATCCATGTTTATTGCAATGATATAAAGAAATTAATCAGTTCATCTCTTAAAAACATAGATTTAGTTAAACTCTGAGAATTTGAAGTGTGTGCTTTAGTCTGATAAACAAACATTTGGGATGAATTTCATGGCCGCTGTCGGGTACAGTGGTGAACCTGTAATGCTTGGGGCCCAATTCTCTTCACAAAAGCAGGATACGCCTAAATATTTCCCCACCTCAAAATAAATGAAGTATTTTTGTATTTTTAAAGGTAAAATTAAGCTGCCGCCAAAATAATTACCTTGGAGCTTTTACCAAATGGGTAATTAGTAATTAAAGGGTTTATACAGGAATGAGTAATTCTAATTTAATGCTTTTTAATGCTCTACAAGTACCAATGCCATTTACAAGTATCCATGACTCTTTTGATTGTGATCAAAGTTAACTAAACCACATGTAGAAAAGAAAAGAAGAAGTGAGGAATTCAGAATAAAAAAATGCAAATAACGAATTTGCTGTTTGTGTGTGTCTGGCCACCAGGGGGCGTCAGACCCCAGAGTTTTCTCATTTGTTTTTGGTCCATTCAGAGTTTTTCTAGCTGTTAATTTGATCTTTAATTGAGAATCTGCTCTGTCTCTACCTGCGGTGTCACACAGCTCAGGCGCGCCTCCCAAAACCGGGTCCCTGTCTGTGAGCAGCTGACTGCGGCCGGAGTCCAGAATCAGATCCGGCTGGTCGGTGTCTTCCAAGGAACCCTGAAAAAAAACATTTTCAAATTAATTCTAAATCTAAACAAATCAAATAGTTTAAGCCTTCCAGGAGTGAGGTTAGTTTCCTCATCTAAATATTAGGGAGAAATTAAAAATGAAAGGAACTCTTCATCTGCTGACCCCTAAATGCTCCTGTATGCTAGTAGCTCTAGTAAAGCAGATCCTCCTGGACTCACCAGCAGCCTGTGGCTGAGGAGAAGCTCCTCTTCTATGGAGGGCAGATCTTGTTTCTGTCTCTTGTCTTGGATCCTCAGCTGAGGCGGCGTCTCCTTGTCCAAGTCGTGAGACCTGAACGAGACGGACAAAACGGTCAAACTCTAAACAGAAAAAAGTTACACTAAAGCTGGAAAGTTTTCTTCACTGAAACTCTGACCATTTTATTACTTATTTCCAATCTCTATATTTATCCGTTTTATTTAACTCTTCTCTATTATCGAGTCAAATATTTGTTATAGTTAAAAGGGGATCTGTGATACTGAGCCCATCTCTGTTCCAAAAGCCATGCAGACCTTCCCTCTGATAAACGCCGATATAAGAAGGAGAATCGGATTATAAAAAAAAAACCTTTAACGCTTCAGGTTGTTATTCTGATCTGACTTCAGCGACAGCGTTCGAGGGGGAAACCTTTTCCTCTGGCGCCCTCTTCAGGACAAACATTAAATTGTTCTTTAAAACATTAAAAATTTGTTTTAGAGTAAAAAATGTCCATGAAGGAAATTATCAGTTAAAAAGTTTCCTCCTTGGTATTTTAAACCGTAAAGTTCTCTGGTCGTAGCCACATCCCCGGGGTTCCCGTTACTGCTCTGATGGGAGGAGATCCTACTCACCTCTTCCTGCTAACGGTCACAGCAGGAAGCCCATTGGAGCCTTCAAACAACAGCGAAGAGGATTGGTCGGCTTTATCGGGTAAATCGCTGAGGAAGGTCAGCTGGAAGTCGTCGTCCATGGAGATGTAAGGCGCGTACATCTCCAGCTCCTTTCCTTCGATGTCCTGAGAAGAGATGGAAGTAAGTGTGAGTTAAAAACCAGGATCAGATAAAAGTAACCCTGAACTTTGGTCTGATCCGTTTACTGCTCCCCACCTCTATAGCTTGTTTCTTCTTCTGAGTTTCCTCCGGGCAGGTGGTGAAGAACTTTTCCACCTCGCTGGTGTCCATCACCTCCTCCTCACAGGGACTCTGAGACCAAGCGGAGCCCAGTTGTTAAACCAGAAGCCTCCAGCGGCTGAAAATTATTTAAGCAAGCGGTTGGCTTACCAGGTCTGGTTCAGAAGAGGGCGGAGATGAGGATGGGTTCAGACCGTCGAAAATGGGGGACAGCAGCTGCCTCAGCTGAGGGCTGCACAGGTCTTTAGGATGCTCCGGAACCAGGTTTGGACCCGGAGGACTGGCGAACGACAGCTCCACCAAACCTGAGGGAGACCAAATGAGCTGCGTTTAAAAGAGCCGATCGCACCAATCCGACTCCATTCTCTGAACACCGGACTCACCTCCAGTCAGCGGCACCACAGCATCTCCTGCCTCGTTCTCCAGCTGCAGCAGCTCCTCCGGCTTCTCCTTCAGCTTCAGGAAGAGCCTCCCCGGGCTGCTGGGGTCCCTCTCTCCCCCGGGCTCCGTGTCCGACTCGCAGGTGTCCGATATCCCGCTGTCCTCCGCAGAGTGCTCCGGGGAGAGCGGTTCGGTTTTCATTAGGAGGCCGCCGCGGGTCTGCTCCATGGAGAAAACCACATCTGGCTGCTCCACAGCACTGCAATCAGACACAGGGTTGAGGGTCAGAGGAGCAGCTGCTTCTTCTTCTCCCTCTTTCCCGACCTGCTCCTCTAAAAGCTCTGAAAAAAAGAGCTCTGTCACTCCGAGCACCTGAGGATGAAGTTGAGGCAGACGATGGCTTCGGGCTGCGACGTTTTGTTGTTGTAGAGGACGGTCGCCTGAGTCTCCGCCCACACAAAGCCACCATTGTTGGCCAGGAAACGGTAGCGGCTGGTGTTCACCTGACCTTTAGAGAGCACTGGAGCAGAGAGCAAAGGGAGAGGAAGGTAGATGTTCACCTTTACATCCTTCAAATGTTGCAAAAGTTAATTTTTCTAATTGGAAATAGGCAGATGTATTGGGTCATGTCAGCTTAAATTTAAGGGCTGTAATGTAGATTAATTAGTACCTTTGTTTTCTTAAGATTTTTATTTATAACAATAAAAACAAGCTGTGAAGGTTGGAAATCCTCCCATCAAGTTCATTTTTATACAACCAATAGTTGATCTCTCTGAATTATTAACATTTATCAAAACAAACAAACAAAAAATATTTCAAAATGTTCTTTTATATCTTTAATTTAATAGTTAGTCTTATATAGTCGTATCTTTTATTTATTTTTTTATTTACTAATTTATCTTTATCCCGTTTACCATTTTTTGTATTAACATTTTGGATCATCTTTAAGAATTTAATTTGATTTAATCCTTAATCTAAACAGTTTGTATTTAAATGTATAAACATCGTTTGGTGTTTTACTTTTTTTGCAGCAGTTGAAATGCATTGTTTTCTCTTTCTAGTTTTATATTCTTCTATGAAATGTGTTTCTAATATTTTCCTTTGACAACTTGAATAGATTTTTATGTTGCTTTAAAATGTTTTTTTATTTTTCTAGGACCGTTTACTCACAGGTGTGCAGGCTCTTCTTGATGCGATCGCAGTCGAGTGCGTGATAAAACTCGTAAGCTGAGCGTCCAATCAGGTCCTCAGGATTGTATCCCACTAACTGTGTGACCCTAAAAAACACACATGGAGGCGAATAAAAACAGGGCTTCTAGTTGTTTTCGTTTCCTATCCAGGAGGAGTAAAGTGGGAGTTTTCCCACCTGCCCTCGCAGTGAGTGAAACGCAGGTCCATGGTGTGACGAGTGAGGAAGGTACAGGTGTCCAGAGGGAACTCCACGCTGGACGGGTGCGGGATGGGCTCGCACAGCAGCGTCATCACTCTGGCTGTAGGGGGCGATGTTGAGCTGCCACCGAATGGACGGATGTGGCCTGTGCAGTGGAGGACCTGAAGAGGAACAGAAAAGACGTCACGCTTTGGTGGTTTCCTTCAGTTCAAGCAAAGAATTCAATAGAAGATGTGTGCTTTAAAAAAAATGCTGAAAGTCAACAAAATATGGGTTAAATAATTTAATCAATGAGCTTTTATTAAATCCAATACTATCAAATATCCACCAATGTTCTCCTCCAACCAGCTCTGATCCTTTCTGATAAGGTCAGAGAGTCCTGCTGAAACCTGTCTGAACTGAAAGGGACACGGATCCGCTCCTCTGCTGAGTCCAGCAGGACGTGTTCTGAGTGTCTGAGGACGTGTTGACGGACAGGAACGTAGGGGGACTCTGGCTCCACTCCAGACAAGCAATTACCGACTTGTATCAATTTCATGCTGGACTTCAGCCCCACATATGTGGTATAAATTTAGCTTTACCCCCAAGCAGTGAGGAGAAACTGTTTCCATCCTAACTTCAAACTTAATGAAGCGGTTTGGAAACATTTTTAGCTTTACCTTCCAGGTGGCAGATTTGATGTTGACAGTACGCCCCCTGCTGGTCAGGGTGCTCTTCATTCGCAGGAAGAAGTTTCTCTCGCTCGGTTGTTCTGCCATCAGTTTCTTACTCAGACCTGAGGGCGTTAAGGCGAGTGTCAGCATTTCAGACATAGAAATTAGACCCAAACGGAGAGAAAGCCTCGAGATTAACGGCGGGCCTGACCTGGACGGGGAGTCAGGAGGTCCCGGAGCTCCTCCTGGTCGCAGGGATGAACAAAGTCATAAATGCTCTGACCCAGCAGCTCCAGCTGTGGACGAACAGAAACAGAAAAACACCGAACATCAACTTTCCCCTTAAAAACATTTGAGCTGTTGGAGCTGAATTAAACGGTTAAAACCGAGCAAATCACAGGTAGGCTTCCCCGTTTCTTCCCCCATGACCCTGATCCCGTTATAGAACCTCTCATACCTGAGTGATGCCGATGTGCTTGTTGACGTTTTCCGTCAGAAAGACCATGTCCCCCTCCTCGGTCATCACCATGATGAAGCCCGCCAGCGCCTGAGGAAAGAAGGCGTCCATCGGATCTTCATCTGTCTCCTCCTCTTTTTCGCTTTCTTCTGATGGAACAACAAAAAACCTTCTGATGAATCTGGTACATTTTATACCACAAAAAAAAAAAGATTAAAGACCTGAAGTATCAGACATCAACAAGGACATGAAATGTGGTGGAACTGAGCTTGCTTGATAGAACAGCAGTTATAAAACCATAATGTTAACTGGACCTCAGGTAGAGGTTAAAGACGGCCTTTTATTGACATGAATGCTGCTGCATGGAGGCGAAGGAGTGATGATATGGGCTTGTTCTGCGGATTCCTTTTTGGTTTATCCAAAGTTATGAGTTTTTCCACATTTGAGGTTAGTGTTACGTCATTTTAGATGCGCCACACTGCCTCACCAGGTCGCAGGAGCTGCTGCATCCGCAGGAAGCTGAGGGTCACCCTCATGATGCCAGCTTTGTCCAGGTGAGTGCAGACTCGGCGCGGCAGCGGCAGGGTGCGGGCGAGCTCGTAGAACACCTCGGTTTCCTGACTGCGGCGACATCTGGCGGCGTCACGAGAGCGGAGCTTCCTCTGCTCCGAGCTGCTCCTGCAGGAGGGAAAGGAGAAGCGGTCAGGATGGGATGAAGCAAAAACAGTAAAGATGAAATTGATGATTTTGAGGCTGTGAAAAAAAAGTGCTTTCGAACATATCCACCATATTTTGACTGTACAGTCAGAGAGTTCTCTTGTTGCTGGGATCGTAAAATCCCTCAGGCATTATGTTCTGTGATCAGGTCTCGTTAAACAGAACTGGGTCAAAGGTAAAAGACCAGAACGGAGACCAAACGTCTGAAACTGGGCAGAGAAGAGAACCTTTTCTATCTCAGCTGCTGGGATAGTTCAACCCTCCCCGCTCCCTTCATGCTTCCCTTTGACCCAGATCGAGCTGCACACTTCTGGCCTCCGTTCCCATCAGCCAGCAAGAGCAGAATGTAATCGGAGCAATAAAAACAGGCTCACTGTGTCTCACGCCTAAGAAAAACAACGAGGACACGGGACACCACTTTAGACATGTCTTCTGAGAGATTGAGCAGAGCAGAACGCCATGTGAAGCAGCGCCGTAGATCTGACTGTAGTTATTTACAGACACAGATCAGCTTTCAGCTCAGGCCCAACATCCAGGTATGGGGCCACAACAACAGTCCCCACAGACTCACAGCCAATAAACAAGGATCGTAATAATTAATCTCACTTTGAAGAAAAGCAGCTGGTCTCAGAAACCCTCAGCTGAATGTGGATGTAGTCGTGTTTCCCTCTGATTTTGTATTCAATGAGTTTCTCCTTGAAGCTTGAGCTCGGCACTGGTCTGGGGGATGGGCGGCTTAAAGCATAATAACATCCATTATACTAATCTGACAGCCATTTTTAGATTAAACTGACAAGAGGAGCCCACTCAGAGAAATCTGACCCACTCTAAGGACTCAGATCATCACGTTTTCTTGGACAAATTCCTGTTATTTTTTGTTTATATGGAAATAAGCAAACAGGTTTTGCACATTTCTTAAAACTCTTTAATGATGCTGATTGCATCTACAAAAGACTAAGCATGTTATTCCTTAAACCTTAGGTTTGTTTACAGATTTTAGATTATTTTTTATTAAGATTATTTTATATGTATCTGCAGGTTTCCATAAATGTTACACTTTTTTACACATTGAGTGACAATGAAGGTTATTTCTACAATATTCTGTTCTAGCTACAAAATGATCTCTGTCCTGAATTAATGCTAAGCTAAGAGGACTAGCTATTATTAAACAAGAAGTAACTTCTGTGAGTTAAAAAATGTATTTTGCATTTTTTACTTCTTTCTTTTGACTTAAATATTTTTTTTACAATAATATGTATTATTTTACTTAATTTCCTGTTTTTAATAGTTAATTCATTTCATAACTTAATGTCAATTTTATTATTTGCAACTTGATGCATTTATTCTATCCTGTTTAAAAAAAAAAAAAAACAATAAAATATTCTCTAAAATTTTCCATAGTTATAAAGGTTGGTTCTCCTGCAGGACTGGACCGGATCAGACTGGATTGGATGGCTGATGTAACTTTAAAGACTGAGGGTAGTTATGAAAGCAAAGATAAAAACCCAAATTTTTCAGTGTTATTAAAATGAAACAAACTTCTTTATTTTGTCTTCGAAACCAAGTTCTTCAATGCAAGTTCAGCTCCAGTCTGATTAAGGGAATATATCTTGCTCTATTAATTAAATTATCTATTATTCTTTTCAGATTGGTCCAAACCGGCTTCTATTTATGAGCCAGCAGCAAGTTTCTTGTCCTTTTCTGGTTAATTCTTGTTTTTTTTTCTTTTTAGGATTGGAAGAAATGGACTGAAAATGTGTTTGTAATTTGTTGCCATAATAGTTAAAAACAATTTTAAATCCAAATCAGCTGATGGGATCTTGATTTCTGGGCCGTAAAAACCTGATGGATCCATCTTTGATCTGAATCATTTCTGTTTGTCTCTAAATGCAAAAATGCGGTAAAAACCCTCCAGACCAACCAGTTGATTTGATTGGATCCAAATTTGATTTGGTCATGAATTAAAAGAAGATCCTGATATCGGTGAAAATTGTCAATCTGGCAGTCTGAGCTAATCTGAGTAAAATCTGAGGCCTAGTTTTTCCACCCAAACACTCACTTTACAATCCAAAAAAGCAAAACATTCTTTTGTTCAGCTCAGTGGAAAAATACCAGCAGGATCTGTAACTTGTGACATGAAGCTCAGCCTGAAGCCCTCCTTCTCCTCCTCCTCCTTCTCTTCCTCCTCCTCCTCTGGTTGAGTTCAGGCATAAACAGAACGCTGCAGCAACCCGACTTCTGAACAGCCTCTCTGAGCTTCCACAGGGGGAGGACGAGTGGTAAACCCAGCAAACTCCACAACCCTGGGTCCATGTTTAGGATCAGAACCAGATCAGGAAGAAATCAGAGACACTCCCAGGTTGTAAGGGGAAAAAAAAAAAAAAAAGAAATGACTCAGGAACTGGGCCTGCTTTCAGTCGCCTCTCTGGACCGGATCAGACTCTGTTCTGGAGACCTTAATCTTCCTCTCAGAGGAAGGAAGGTGGAAGAAGGAAAACTAAAGGAGGATTTCTGGTGGTGAGATTTTGAAATAAACAGCCTGATGCATTCAAAAGAAAAAGGAAAAAAAATAACAGGGAGTTTTCAATGATGTCATCAGGCTGCAGCAGGTTTCACTGTTGTTTACCAATCAGTCAAATTGGATCCATCAGGCTTCAGAGCCAACAGGAGATTGCTGCAGCAGAACTCCCGACTCCCTCTCCTCGGTTTGGACGAGGCTCCATCTTCTGACGTCGACAGATCCGTTCACAGGCGTGTGCCTGAAGGTTCATGAAGCCAACACGTGCTCACGTGAAGCAGGGACGTTGTGAAAGTTCCCGCAGGGGGGAGGAGGGATGTGTGTGAGAGTTGGAGTTGCAGCCCTCCTCCTGCTCCCCTTCCATTTCACCGCAGAGGGCCTCCTCGCCTCTTTGCTTTAAAAAGGAAGAAACACGGCAGGCATGCTGAACTCAGAAAACCTGATGACCTGCATGCGTACTGCGTGTTTCAACGGCACATATGACCTCAGAGACGGGTCAGGTGTCAAATACCTGGAGCTGATTACAGTCTAATGAAACCTCTGGAGGAATGGCTTCAGGAACCAGAAGGCTGCAGACACACCCACATTTTGTTGCAGCTAATCCACTTGAAATATGTCAGAACATCCCAAAACAAAACTCAGATCAGTCCAGACATGCTGACTCATCAGTATTACGTCGATTTACATCCATTCATCCTCATGCTAAGGGCTGTTTTTTAGACTCTCTCTAAACAGCATTGGGAAGACTGTAGAATGCGTTGGGTTTAACCTCTGGTCCATGTATCTGAACATGAAGAGAAGCCTGAAGGCTAAAACCCCCAAAAAACGTCCTGTTTGCAGAGTCAACATGAGCTATGGAGGGGAGATGACAAACACGCAGTGAACATCTCAACTTGTTTGCATCAACTAGGTGACAGGAGAGGTAAAAACTGCACATCACCCTAAACAGAAAAACATGGTGATGGCAGAGTCATGCTGAGGGAAGGCATGTCCTTAACGGGATCAGATAAATGGTAGAAAGTTAGAGGTTGGGCTGGTGGTTCAACCTAAAGCTGTACAACTAAGCTAAACATGCAGAATGGCTCTGACCAAAGCGTACATGATCTGGTCAAGGTCAATGCCTAAATACATACATTATTTGCCAAAACAAATAAGAACTTAATCTAAAAGAATTTAAACTTTTCTGATAGGGTCTATAAAACACAAAGCTAATCTACTGCAGGCTCAGCAGCATCATCGTGCCGAAGGTTTAGATTTTAACCTGGATCAACAATGATTTATCATAGTTACAGCTTCCAATCATACAGGCAAAACTTCCCTGTTCTGTTTCTACGCTTACAGTTTAACCAGTTTACAGCAGAGGAATCAGTCCCGCCTCCGCCTTTCTGTTTTGTCTGGGCCCAAACAGAAGTACTCCGTGTACCGAGAACAGGAAGTGTTGGCGTGCTTTTTAAAGAACAGAAACATGCCGCGTAAACAAACACTGCAGCTCGGGACATATTTCAGTTTGATCACGTTTCATTACAACACGGAGGCAGATAAGAGCTAGATCACAGGCCAAAAAAACAAAAAGGGCCGCCCCGGGGACACGCTTCTGCTTGCCAAGTCATGCCCACTCCCACAGCTGTCCTGAATCCTCACCAGGCCTCAGAGTTTGGAGGAATGAGCTTCATAAAAGCTCCACACAGCAGCGGCTCAGCAGATTATTTAAATGGAGGAAGCTTCAGAGTCTGAAAGAGGAATGTGTTTTTGCTTTCAGAGCCACTCCCAGAGGTCACCGCAAGAACTCAGGGGGTTGACAGAGGACTGAGAGGCAAAGAGAAAAACAGCAATGCTTTTCATTTTGATCAAACTGAAGTCAAACGTATTAATTCAGACACATTAAAGCTTTTTGGGATAATTTATGCAAAGCAACTAGAACCAGTCATGTCTGAGGGGAGTTTAAACTAGAAGGGGCCTAGCTTCCAGCCTTTAAACGGACTTTGAACGCAGACACTAGAACGGCTCATGGTTCAACATTCACAGCAACAGAACATGCAGTCGTCCCACACATCGGACACAGAAGTTCCTGAAATGTCCGACCTGCTGCTTCGTCGTCGCAGGAAAGTTTCACAACTGCTAGGCTGTCGAACAAAGATCTGGATTCCTGAGGAGTTTTCTATTCCAAAACTTTTCTCTCTCAGATCTGAAAGCATCCACCGGCCCTTTAGCGATCCGCGACAGCATTCCTCACAAACAGGCCAAACACTTTTACTGAAAGTCCTGTCGATAAGCAGGAGATTTACGTCAAATGGTGACAAAAAAGTGAAAGTATAAGGCCAGGTTCTGATTTGTTGATATCACCTAACAACCTGGCATGAAAACGGCTGTTTTCTTTTTTAATAGAATAAAGGACTTTAAAACATAAAATGTATAAATTTTACAGCTAAAAGTTTGACTTCCTGGAACTAAAATCAAACTTCATTGTGAATAATGGCCTTTTTCTTTAGTCGTTCCTCCAGATACGGCTGCAGAGACAACAGCCTTTTACAAGCTCACTGACCGAGACACCAACAAGCCACCATAAAATTCACAAAAAAGGTTGTAAAATGCAGCATAACAAAGCAGAGTCCCCTACTTAACACCTATTTACCCAGTCAGCTCTAAGTCAGACTCTCTTTTAAGTCTTCACTGTAATTTAGTGAAATGACCCAAAACAAAATCCTGTTTCACAGAGCTTGTAGTTACAAATCATATGATTATGACTAATGGAGAGGAGGGAGGGGTCGGGGGGCTTTCACTACTCTTGTAAAACAAAACTCCTAAGACCATCCACCATGATCACAATAAACAGAAGAACAAATCCAAACTGATCTTTGCAGTAGAGGCAACAGGATTACTTACTGTTCTCTGTATTTATGTGAAAAAGAAGTTTGTAACTATCACCAATTTCCACACAGCAGACATGCTATAACCAAGAGCTGCTTTCCTGCAGAAATTAGATAAAGTACTGCTTCAATCCACCTGTAAAAGGAAGGTAACAAACTGAGCAAGTAATTCAATCATCCGAGTCCTTAAGCCAATGGAATGGAGGCTAGATGATGGGCCATGTGGGACTGGAGCTAATCTGTAGTTCCAATTGATCTGCTTAGAAATCTGAATTCAGGAAGGTTAAAATGTCAAATTTGGACATCCTCCTCAAAAAGCGGATGTTACAACAGCAATCAAGAGTTTACTGTCTCATTTAGTTTGGTTTTTGACTCTTAAAGTGAGGAATATGCTGGTGAAGGTTCTCAGTCGTCCAGGTCATTCAAAAAAAAAAATAAAAAAAAAACCCAGTGGACTTTGTTTCCGAGTTTGAAGACGTTTCGCTTCCCATCCAGGAAGCTTTTTAAATTCCAAATGTCAGGAATAGTTTGAATGTCTCAAACTCAATGCTGTTCCTGACATTTTGAATTGAAAAAGCTTCCTGGATGGGAAGCGAAACGTCTTCAAACTCGGAAGCCAAGTCCACTGGATTGTTTTTTATTTTTTGGAATTAAAGTGAAGAAAAACCAACTGGAACCAAAAATGATTCTAATATAGGAAGAACTTGGACCTCAAAATCCAACCAAAAAAAACACAAAACACCTTTGCTTTGCACACAGACTACCCCTCCCCTCTGTTAAGGTAGCAAGCATGACTGTGGGTGAAACAGCATTATTATTATTCTGACTAACAACCCTCATGGATGTCAGCGTTAAAAGCAAAACACTGACTGGATCCTGAAGACAAAGCAAAGGAAACAGAAGAAAAGTGCAGTTCTGCTGCAAATATATCAAACCAAAAGTGATCTGAACATTTTTAAAATGAGTGAACAACAACAGGAAGCGAGTTGGAAACATTCAGACCCCTAAAGTCCAGATCCGACTAACAAAAGGAAGAAGTAGAGGAAAAAACTTGGCACCAGGGAGGAGTTATAGAGAACACCCTGTCCTGGATCAGAGAACAAACTGTGGCCATTATCTGTTATTGCTCAATGAAACTGTTGATTTGAATGTCTGTGTGTGTTCATGGCCTCCAGTTGGAGGCGTCCACAGCCTGACTGACAATATAATCTGGTTTGTGGCCATGTGGGTGAGGTGTGTTTACTGAATAATGGAGGATTGCCATCAGGTCAGCTTCTTTCAGCAGGAGGAGGGACACAAAAACAAACTTTAAGGCAAACATGAGAAATGAAATGAGCTTAAAACAACAATGATGGATCAAGCACAGAGATCAGGCATTACTTCACAGCGCCATTTTTCCATGTAAATCAAAATTAACTTTGCATTATTAATATTGACACCTTTCCTTTGAATGAGATCAAAGAAAAAAAAAGGAACTACTTAACCGGATATGTTGTAAATAAGCAGCAGATGAGCAAACATTCAGCCCACGCCTCCGCTCAGAGCAAAAACAGGAATTAAAAGTGGATCCACGCAGAAAGCCTCCAATCTGCCTGTGGTGTAAACAATGGCGCAGAAACGGCAAGCAGAGCCCACCCATATATGACCCCCTATCATTTAATATTAGAAATACGACTTTTAACAGTATAAACCGTGCAGTTAAAAGATGGAAATAGCAAAAGAAAACCTCAGCAGCGGAATTGCTTCATTTAATTAGAATCCAGCAGGAAGCAGCAGTCGTTGTTCCTGCTGCTTTCGTGGCCCCGGGTCGTCGCGGACGTTTCGAGCTAATTAGCCCACTGACCCGTTTAAACGCGTACATTTCATTTAAATTAGTGAACAATCTCACCGTTTAACCGCCGGGACCCCGTCCTCCTTCTCCATGTTTCATCAGAAGACCAAAGCGAAGGCTGTGTTTTCTATCGACGTTGACTTCAGCGAAGCAAAACAACGAATGAGCTGATATCACTGCGCGCGGAGCCAAATGATGGCCAAGGCTGATACTTCCGCTAGAACTTTCAAAATAAAATCTGCACAGAGTCAGGGCGCCGCTTCGAATAAAAGCTATAAAACAATACGTTAATATCTACGGTACTCCGTGGGGCCACTTTTATAATATGTGTAATAGTTTAACTGTGCATTAAACACAAAAAAAAGCCCAAACCAACGTATAGTTACGAAGAGGATTAGGGCCACTGAAAAAATACAAAAAGCGAACTGATTTTTAAATTATATTACAGTATAATATGAGAAAAAAGTCAGAATTCTAAGAAGAAGTCAGAATTCATACTTTAATCGCACAATTCTGACTTTCTTTCCTCAGGATTCAGACTTAGAAGTACTGCACTTAAACTTACACGAGGCATTCGTGTTACCTCGGAATTTTAACTGCTAAATGTCATTACTCCAACCTCGTGGTTGTGCGAACCGTTCAGACTAATATAGTATCGATAAAACGTGCTATTTCCGTGCGTTCTTTTAATTCTGATGCCACGCTAACATGGTAATTAACTGTTGCTGTTTTTCTAACTGGATGGAAATCCAAATTACTAAGATAAAATCGATTGCTGTGACCATTGCAAAACCATTCACCTAAAACGCAGCCTTTTTGGATAACATATCCTCCTTATTTCTACAACTCTGACTTGGAATAGTTTTATGGGGAATTTAGAATCCTAGATTTCCCAGTGACATTGAAGGCACCTGGAAAGTAGGTCACCTTTGATGAAGGCTTTTGTTTTTCATTCGCTCCCCAGATTTCGCGTGCTGCTCATTTCTAGCTTGACTCTTTTGAGGCTGCTATGACGCACCCGCACTACGTCACGCCCCCCTTTTGATAAAGGTAACTGTAGGCCATTTCGTATATGCAAACACATTTCTGCACATATAAGAGGCAAGGAATTGTTTTTCTTTTCATTGCACGAGTACATAAAAAAAAAAAAGTCAAAACTACCATGCTGAAATTGATCGGTCATTTTCTTCTGTTTCCGTCTCCTGTGGTTGATTTTGAAGAAGTAAGAAGTATGACCCCTCTAAAAAAAAAAAATTAAACTAATCGATTTCTTAGAGATAGTAATTTACTGGAGGCATATAACCACACTTGTATCAGCAGATCAAGATTGTTATCTTACATAGGATAGGAAAAATTGTAAACATGTAAAATGGCTGACACCATTTTGAACCAGAAAAACTCGCGAAGGCAAAAAGGCAGCACAGCTACAATCGGAAAATTTTGGGCAGTTATGAGCATAAAAAACAAAAAATGAGATTGAAAAACATTTTGTTTAAATAAAAAACGAATGCATTATACTTACTTTACTTATATGATACTATATATATCATATACATTTAGCTCGTATAAGCTCCTACTGATTCCAATTAATTAAATCCTAATGTTTAATAGTTATAAAGAAATCTATGTAAATGCGATTTCTGTCATCCTTGGACAGGATAATATCTTGTACAAGATATATGACAACAGCAACAGACTCTAAAAAAGTTTTTTTATTGAGTGCTTTATGACATTATCATTTCCATTGAAATATAACCTGCATTTTTATATATTCTATTTGATATAAACAGTTTTATTAATGGTCATGTCTTTTTAAAATTGGTCATAACGTTAGATGGTTGATTTCCCTACAGTAGATAATGCCGCCCTCTACTGGCCAACACCGGTCATAGATAAGGGTCAACCTTTTTTGTGAGTATTGAGCCGGTGTAGATATAAGGTGTTAAATGTTTTACTGGTTAAAGCTTTAATTTTTCAAAAAAAATAAATACCTAATAAAAAAGCACTTTACATTTTATTAATTCTAAACAATTAACTATCTTCATTCCTGTAATTCTCACCAACACAGGTGATTCAGTTGAGTCCACGTAAAATCCCTCCATCAGTCTACATAGCTGCATATTTGTAAGTCCTGACTCAATCACTTACCTCAGAAGAAAAACATGCACACATTGAATCTGCTGATGAGGGTTGAGGTTTTCTGGATCATCATGTGAGAAGTTCAGCTGAAAAGAAGCATGCTTTAGGGAATTTGGATAGAAGCACCTTCCTGTGAGGCAGATCCTGCAGATTTGTTCTTCTACTAGAGTAGAAAAATATTTACAGCATGTGGATGTGAAACCATTTGGAAGCAATATTTTTGTGAGAAAAACAGAAAGTGAAGAAATAGTTTCTGTCCTGCTTCTATACAGAAACTAACATGGATAGTTGGGACAGTGAAAAACATGTGTTGGGGAGTTTGACTGCCTCTGTTTCAGGATGTTTTTCATTCATTAGTCCCACTCTTCATGCTATAAGCACTGCCTCATTGGGGTCTGGCCAAGTCTTAGTTTATTTTAAGCATGGGATCAAATTAGATGATCCGCCCTTTCCTGGGAAAAAACCCATGTTGGACCCTTATCTCCTGGAAAGCTACAGAGCAATCAATAAACTACTAATATTTAAAATGGGAGACATTTATTCTTTACATAGATTTCATGCAATTGCTTCTTTAAAGCTCATTCTTGCAGGGAATTGTACTGAACTGCAAATAGCAGACTGAACCCTAACCTCTAAGAAGATACCGGACGGCATACGTTTATTAAACTGTACTTTCTCCATAGCCTTTTGAAATCAAAAGTTGTCTTCAAGTTGGCAGGCTTTATTTTGTTTTTAGCCCCCATTTATTTTTTTTAGCATAATTGTTCCCTTTTCTGGAAATTTCCAACACTTTAAAAATAAAATTCAAACACTTCTACAGAGGTATTTGTCACATCAAGCCTGGCATTTCCTAAGGATTTTAACTCCTTTGTGATTATTGTCTAAATAAAATCTGTGCCGATAGAATTAATTGTTCTGAATCATAGAGATCATGTTGTGACTCAAGGCAAAAGAAACAAGATACTCCAGTTTATTCTGGCAGTCATTGTGATCAGCTTTAAGAAAAAAAAATCTGTTTGCAGAAATCACAACTGAACATCTTTGCCTTCAATATTGGGAAAAAGGCATCGATCTGAAACCAACTTTCAGGAAAGCCTTTAAATCCGAAGCTGAGCTCATAGGACATGCCGTTTCTTTGACAACAGAGATGAGAAACACAACGGGGCATCTGATGCCTCTGCAGCAGGTCCGAACCGGTCATCCTGCTGTCCTGTAAGCAGCTCTGCTGTTTAATACTGAAAAAATGTAAATGTTTCAAATTGAAGGTTTAGATATATATATATATATAAGAAATAAATGACTTAGAGAGTGCTTCAGTATCTAGTTACATTTGGTCCTCAATTTAATACATATGGATTCTGCAACCGCTTCAGCAACGGAAGCACTATGCAGCTAGATGCAACCTGATCTGATTTCAGCTAAAAGCTGCCTTGGCAGCAATGTAGCTGCATCCCATTTATCATGGTAATAACTCACCATTATCTGCTCATTAAATCAATAAAATCCCAGTAAAGCTGATATATTTTAGAACATTATAACATAAGAGAAAAGGAGAGGAATCCAGTCCTGTCAGCATTTTAGGACCAGGTTAGATGAAAGACATAAGGAAAGACTAAGGGAAAACAGGAACTATAAAATAAAGGGTAGGAGGAGGAAGGGGGAATGGACAGGACACAAGAAAGGAGCAAGTAGGCCAGAAAATGATTATAGGAATGAAATACAGAAGGGAGAAGTCAAGAAAAGGAATTAAGAAAAAATAAATATGAGGGAAGAGAGGTATAAATGAGAGCACAAGGACTGAAGACAGAAGGAAAAAAGATAGGGAAGTACACAAGGAAGAGAAGAACAAAGGAAATAAATAAGAAAACAAATAAAAGAGGAATGTCAAAAGTGAGGATGGAAGAAATAAAAATAAAGAGGGAGGTAGGATATAAGAACAGACTTGGCATCGGAAAAAAAGAGACAAGTATGGATAGAAAGGAAGGATGGAAGGGAATAACAGAGAGGGAAAGAGGTAATGACAGACTGCAAAAACGATCTAGAAATAAGTCAACATTCTTAAATTTAGAGTATTTACCCTTAATTTGAGCAGTTAAAAAAGATGATTTCCCAATGGAATTAGTATTTTTACTCTTAAAATAAGATTAGATAATATACTCTTGAAATAAGACAAAGCAATTGTTTTTTTCTTATTCTTAACGCCAATTGTCTTGTTCCATTGGCAAAGTGTCTTACCTCCTAAATTCAAGAACAAATGCACTTATTTTAAGAAAATATGAGTCTAGATTTTTACCAGTGCACAAAGGAGAAAAGAAAGAGTGGAAAGAGGGAAGGGGAATAAAAGGACATAGAGAAAAGGAAATACATACATATATATATATATATATATATATATATATATATATATATATATATATCCATCCATCCCCTGGTTACCCTGAAGGCAGTTTGTTTATGTTTCTAGTTGGCTTTTTTTAAGATCTTTTACTAGCATTTTAAATTCCAACAAAAGTATGGATTTCCAGGATCTCTCTCTGCGCAGCAAAGGTTCAGGGTTGAATTCTACAGCGCTTGGACCGAGCCTGCAGCAGATCTGGATGCAGGAATCAGATCAGAGAGCGAAGCAAGGCCTTCCCTGCAGAGTAAGAATCAAAACAACAACAACAATAAAACAAAACACCACCACCCTGACTGTAGCCGCTCAGTGGTGTGCACTGTGGATTTATTGGATGTGCAAATTCTTGCAAGAGGCAGTTCAGGTGACACAGTAGGTCAATGATGCTACACTGTGACGGGCTTGTGTTTCTGTGTCGGATCGTGTTTGTTTGTGGGTGTGCTGTTCTGTGCGGAGCGGCATGAATCCAAACTGTTCCGACTGCTTACAGGAAAAAAAACAAACAAAAAACACTGAATAAAAACACAGTGACGTTTGCAGGCTCCCTAAACCAGCAGCCAGTCCGTTTACACCTGCTCTTGCTATGTACAATAGAAGCTTCTTCATATATTAATATTCTTCATCTCTACTCCTTCGTTGTTGCAGAGTCTCTTTTCTCCTTACTGTATTTATAGAGCA